TTCAGAGGCCACTCGTCTCAACACGGACAGGTGAATTTGCACAGATGGAAGCAAATATCGAACACTCAGCATCTGCACGGTACGGGAAAATGCCAATAACCGAGGCTACGTCGTGCGAACAGAGAACATCGCGGTTTGGCGTCGTGCTGAAGAAATGCCAACATTTGAATAATGGCCCCACGAAGAGACTGCAAAAGAAACAATAACTCCCCAGAAGTAATCCCCTAAGTCTCTCTTGAAAGAAAATGAGTGTTTCTTGGATCGCCCCAAAATTAAAACCATCAATCAAGACCACGCGTTCACAGGTCCCGCCGCAGTGCGATGGAACGGATCACGAAGGGCTGCCCGCTATTGTGCACGGACATCGATCAACGCAGCGGCTTGGGCGTGACGCTGCCGACTCCTCGTGAACGGACAGCGCCGCTCGCTCGCCCGAGTGTCCGTCGAGGGTTGGAAGGATCAGCGCACGTAGGGGTGGGATTTCGACTTACCACCTCCCGATTACGAGTCTGGAGTTATGTCACTGCCACGGCTCGCATCCACTTCGTGAAGGGAACGTCGGCAATTAACGGCGGGAGTCCGTCACTTTTAACCACTCATTCCTGGACTTGGCCAAACATCGCAATATTGGACGACAATAATCGGGCAATTGTTGGCGCCGTGTTTTTGGGGGCACCTTCCCAAAGGCCTCTCTGTGGATTCCCTCGCGTCTCCTTGCGAAAAATCGCGGGCGTCGCTAATTCCGCAGCAGCAGTTTTTTGAGACGCAATTTCCCACGAATGATGCTGCTGTATACGAAGGTAATTAGAAAAATAAATGTGGCAGGAGACGTGCCCCTGAAGAGCGACTGGGCTTGTGGAGTCGCATAAATTGGCCGCTAGAGCCCCTCACGAGAAGGGGCGCTACGTCGAGGCGGTTCCGCCGCATTCCATTCATCCAATCGGGAAGGAGGAGAGGGTGCCCAGAGGGCTTCTCGTCGAGCGCACGGTGGCCGCGATTCGTTCAGGGGTTAAATAGTTCGTGTGGTTTATCTCATCCTCCTGCGTTGAAGGAGCGCAGAGACTACAGTGGTTTACTTTGTGGCCCGTGGCCTGGGGGTTGCATGGCCACAATCTCACTCATGTGTATCCTATTTGCAATAAACAATTTATCTACGTGCGACAAGATGCCAAGGGGTTCATGTAATTTTTTTTTTCAAATCGAAGGTTGCACGTGCAATAAAATGTCTCTTAACTCGTCTAAAGACACTCGTACACCACTCTTTGATGATATCGCTCGGTCCGTTACATTAATCAACATAGGCGCATGCCTAAATACCCCCGCCTATGAAACAATATTGCGAGACACGCGTATGTTTTTTTTTTTAAATTGGCTCTCATTTACCTGTTCAGGTCGCTTCAATGAGTCGGGATTTCTTAGCGTCGTTCCGAACACAGAATTCGCGAAGCTGCCAGCAAGGCAAGAGGCGGTGCAGGGCCAACAGAGCACCTCTCCATCTCAAGGTTCTGCGCGTGTGACTCACTTGGGTGCTGACGGAGATCTTTTTTGGGGAATCTTATTTTGCTCCAGTTTATTTTTAACAGCTGGACTAGCCTCCTGAATGATGTACGTTAAATATAGGTTTACATAGCAGAACAAACCGGGGATCCGTATGTACACATTAACTCGTCTTACTTTCTGTTTATATCCAGAAGATGTCCATAAATCTCCCAACACCCAAACGTTGCAGACGGTGTCATTTCAGCTCGACGCGCGACTCGCGTGGACCCAAACCTAGGCTACAATACAACAACACGCACCAGCTACAATACAACAACACGCACTAGCTACAATACAACAACACGCACCAGCTACAATACAACAACACCTACCAGCTACAATACAACAACACGCACCAGCTACGATACAACAACACGTACCAGCTACAATACAACAACACCTACCAGCTACAATACAACAACACGCACCAGCTACAATACAACAACACGTACCAGCTACAATACAACAACACGTACCAGCTACAATGCAACAACACGTACCAGCTACAATGCAACAACACGTACCAGCTACAATACAACACGTACCAGCTACAATACAACAACACGCACCAGCTACAATATAACAACACGTACCAGCTACAATACAACAACACGTACCAGCTACAATACAACAACACGCACCAGCTACAATACAACAACACGTACCAGCTACGATACAACAACACGTACCAGCTACAAGACAATAACACGTACCAGCTACAATACAACAACACGTACCAGCTACAATACAACAACACGTACCAGCTACAATACAACAACACGTACCAGCTACGATACAACAACACGTACCAGCTACAATACAACAACACGTACCAGCTACAATATAACAACACGTACCAGCTACAATACAACAACACGTACCAGCTACAATACAACAACACGTACCAGCTACAATACAACAACACGTACCAGCTACAATACAACAACACGCACCAGCTACAATATAACAACACGTACCAGCTACAATATAACAACACGCACCAGCTACAATACAACAACACGTACCAGCTACAATACAACAACACGCACCAGCTACAATACAACAACACGTACCAGCTACAATACAACAACACGTACCAGCTACAAGACAACAACACGTACCAGGTACAATACAACAACACGCACCAGCTACAATACAACAACACGCACCAGCTACAATACAACAACACGTACCAGCTACAATACAACAACACGTACCAGCTACAATACAACAACACGCACCAGCTACAATACAACAACACGCACCAGCTACAATACAACAACACGTACCAGCTACAATACAACAACACGTACCAGCTACAATACAACAACACGTACCAGCTACAATACAACATCACGCTACAGCCCTTGAGTGTGCGACTTCCACAGCGCTGGCTACCCAGCTTCTGCAGCCAGGATTATCAGAGCCTCCTTAAATTAAAAAACCTTCCGTGTATTTTAGGCGCAGTGATTTCTCACTTCGCGAGTTTAATTCCTGGCCAAGGCTGACATCGATGGACGAGTGGAATTTAAACCGGTCCTGGGCCCTCTCTTCATCAACTCGCAATGACCAACGTGGTGAAGTATGGTCAAACAACCCTCACGACTGGCATTGTATGGCAAGGTCTATACCCAGCAGTGGATTGACACGGGGACAAAACAGATATTGTTAATTTCTCATGTATTCCGATTACATCCCTCTCTCGTTATGTAATAGGTGTGAAGCTTTCGTGACTGCAGGAATTACTCTTTGGTTCTTTCGGTAAAGTCACGCAGAAAGAAAATAAATTAAATATTAGAATACGACGTTTCGATTGCAACACAAGCAGCCGTCATCAGGTAGAACTAAACTTGAGAGAGAGACAAAACGCAGAGACCCACAGACAGACACACAAGCAGAGAGAGACAACACAGAGAGACACAGAGAGAGACACACAACATAGACACACAGACAGACACACAAGCAGAGAGAGACAACACAGAGAGACACAGAGAGAGACACACAACACAGAGACACACAGACAGACACACAAGCAGAGAGAGAGACAACACAGAGACAGAGAGAGAGACACACAACATAGACACACAGACAGACACACAAGCAGAGAGAGACAACACAGAGACACACAGAGAGAGACACACACGACATAGACATACAGACACAACACAGAGACACAGAGAGAGACACAATATAGACACACAGAGACAACACAGAGACACAGAGAGAGAGACACACAACATAGACACAGAGAGAGAGACAACACAGAGACACACAGAGAGAGGCACACAACATAGACACACAGGGACAACACTGAGACACAGAGAGAGGCACACAACATAGACACACAGAGACAACGCAGAGACACACAGAGAGGGACACACAACATAGACACACAGAGAGAGACACACAACATAGACACACAGAGAGAGGCACACAACATAGACACAGAGAGAGAGGCACACAACATAGACATACAGAGAGAGGCACACAGAGAGAGGCACACAACATAGACACAGAGAGAGACAACACAGAGACACACAGAGAGAGACACACAACATAGACACACAGAGAGAGACACACAACATAGACACACAGAGAGAGACACACAGAGAGAGGCACACAACATAGACACAGAGAGAGACAACACAGAGAGAGACACACAACATAGACACACAGAGAGAGGCACACAACATAGACACACAGAGAGAGACAACACAGAGACACACAGAGAGAGGCACACAACATAGACACGCAGAGAGAGACACACAACATAGACACACAGAGAGAAACACACAACATAGACACACAGACAGACACACACGCAGAGAGAGACAACACAGTGTATTGTGTGTACACTGCCATATGTAGCTTTAAGGACAGATCGCCAGCTGTTCCAAAACACCATTGATACACTCCTTCAAGGGGGGACTCAGAGTTACATCTGGAATTCTCACTGTGAGCACCGCACGCGTCTGTGTGTGAGATCTGAGCCTCATCGCAAGCGTCCACATCGGGCTCAATCGACAGATTCCGCGTGGAACATCTCAATCGACGATGGTGCCCATTGCTGATCACCTATCAGGTCATAGAACAACAACAATAAATAATACGCCCTGGCATGCGAACGTTTATCATTATAGGGCCTCGATTCACACACCTACACTCGATAGACCGGTCAGGAATCAAACAATGGCCATGAATCTTCGTGGGATTCTTCTAAAGTTCACAAATAATGGAATCATTCTGCTCGCAGCAGAAACGGGGGTCTTGCCTCGTCTTCCGCTTCTTCCCCGGCGCTGCTCAACTTCGGGATTCCCTCCCCGCGGCCTCTTTCCCAAAGCCCTCACAACCACCGCGCCCCCATTCAAGTAGTCGTGTTCACTCTCAACCACCGCCGCCTGACGTTTTGGGCCTTTGGGCCTTGCGCTCGGGAATTGGGTTAAATCATCGCGGAGGAGTACCTGTTTCCAGCCGTCGACGGAGGGGCTTCGGACATGAACTCATGCGGCTGATCCGGGTCGCCCGGCTGAGGTCATGGTGTCGTCAGTGGTCCGGGGGGGGGGGGCCTGTAAAATGAATAGAAATTCAATCGATGACATCGCCGTGACCCAGGCCATCCGAGGTCACAAAGCTATTTGAGTGAATTTTGCTCCACTGGCCGCTGCAGTAGCAGCAACAGCAGACCTCAAATATCGCTCGCGTTATTTATTTTGGAGCGTGCGATGGTGTGGGTGTGTTGACGTCTGGCTAGTGGGCACTGTGGTCAGAACGCTTGGCTCACAATCACATGGTCGGTCACACAATTAATGCAACGCTGGAGAGGGACACTGCAGCTGGCCTCCTCCACCGGGTTCATATCGATGCCTATCACTTTGCAGGAACGTGGAATTTCCGCCACTGGCTCAAGGCCCACCAGTGGTGGTGTGCGTCTAAACCGCGAGACGCACTGACTCATCGCATTCTCATCCGCGGCAGCGCAAATATCGGAACGCCACAACCACATACTTGGAGCGCTCCGCTGCTGCACTGTTAACCACCGATCAATCACCACTTTGCCCTCCGTTGTTTTAAAAAGAAAGTATTCGTCTCCTTCCTCCGTCTCTGACTTCATTCCTCTTTCCCTTGGCCCGACGCACGCTTCGCTCTCCCCCGCCTCCCTCCAGCACCTCTCCGCCCCCGCACGCAGCGGGTCGGCGGCCGCTCCCGCTAGAGATCGAAGTTCTCTCCCCCTGACGGCACCGCCACTTCACACCCCGAGGCACCTCTCTCCGTCACCCACAGTCGATGCTTCACGCGCCGTGCCAATCGTCGCACCCCGGCGCAAGCCAACGCACAGTCGCGGCGTTGTGTAAAACTGAAACGTATTCTCTTTGCCGCTCGTCTTTACCATCTCTTGCTATCCTCGTTGCCTCTAATCGGCCGGATTGTTTTTCTTACTTCAATTCTTGCCGACGGAATTATCTGTTGCGTCTTCGATCGTGAAATTCATTTTTACAACGACGGCGATGATCACTGCTCAACCCAGCCACGTATCTGTCCCGCGGTTGGGGTCCCCACGGAGCCGAGGCGCAAACACCCTCACCGTGGGCACGTTCTCTCAGGGCTAGGTACGAGATCACCGTGGGCACGTTCTCTAAGGGCTAGCTACAAGATGACCGTGGACACGTTCTCTAAGGGCTGTCTACGAGATCACCGCGGGCACGTTCTCTAGGTGCTAGCTACGAGATGACCGTGGGCACGTTCTCTCAGGGCTAGCTACGAGATCACCGTGGACACGTTCTCTAAGGGATGTCTACGAGATGACAGTGGGCACGTTCTCTAAGGGCTAGCTACGAGATGACCGTGGGCACGTTTTCTCAGGGCTTGCTACGAGATGACCGTGGGCACGTTCTATAAGGGCTAGCTACGAGATGACAGTGGGCACGTTCTCTCAGGGTTAGCTACGAGATGACCGATGGCACGTTCTCTCAGGGATTGCGCTCTAAGGGAACGCGCTCTAAGGGCACGTGCTCTAAGGGCACGCGCTCTAAGGGCACGCGCTCTAAGGGAACGCGCTCTAAGGGCACGCGCTCTAAGGGCACGTGCTCTTAGGGCACGCGCTCTAAGGGCACGTGCTCTAAGGGCACGCGCTCTAAGTGCACGTGCTCTAAGGGAACGCGCTCTAAGGGCACGTGCTCTAAGGGCACGCGCTCTAAGGGCACGCGCTCTAAGGGCACACGCTCTAAGGGCACGTGCTCTAAGGGCACGCGCTCTGCGGACGCTCTCCGGGCACATCCGACACTGCTGTGGAATGTGCTGACAGAGGCAGCAGTGGGGTGGAAATGAACGCTTTAGTTAAATGGAAATGGATAAAAAAATTCAACACGGACATGGAAATTTAAAAAAACGGCATTCGCAGAGCGACGAGGGGTCACTTGCCTTCAACAGGGCTACTCTGTGACTACCACCACCACGTCACCAGTCCCACTCGACAGAGAGGGCCCATTGACAACTCAACTACGGCACAGTCACAGTGGGGAGCGATGGCCCAGTGGTCAGCGCGCCACACTGCGACCCCGCCGTCCAGAGTTCACGTCCAAGCCACGGCTAACATCGGTGGCGAGCGATATCTGAACCGGTCACTACCGCGCCCCCCACCTCCGCCCTTCACCAACCCACACTGACCAGTGTGATGATGAAGAAGAGCCAACCCCCCCCCCCACCCTGCCCAACACGGTTTGGGGCTGGTGTTCATCCAGCAGCGGATTGATCCAGGACTGTGAATTCACCAATCAGCTCAGCGGCGTCCCGTCAAGGACAAGACCAGCGCGAGGCGACACGGAGCGGGTGCGCAGCGAAAGCTGCGAGCTTAAAATACCCCAGCAGCATGGCGTCGGGGGCTATGAATACCTTAGAAACACGCGTAGCCAATTTCATCGTGATAAGTCAGGCATTGAAAACAGATTTCCGACAACTGCGTTCACACCGTCGCCAGTAAACAAGTCCAATCGCTTGTTCCGAACTGAGCGCGAAGGCTCACGACGGGAATGCAACGCGGAGGTGGCACAAATCCGTGTTCGTCGGCAAGAAGGATATCCCACTCTTTTTTTTTTGTCTCGCAATGGTAGTGGTAGACCGCATTCGTAGTTTCTCATCAGCGTTTGGTCGTCTGTGCAAGGGATTACGGTAAACCCATTATATTATCTCTCAAGCCAAAGTGGGGATCTACTGAGCAGTGGTTACACCTGCATTATGAGATGGGTCTGAGACCTGGGCACCTATATAGACGCCAAATAAGGGAGCGACACCAGTTCCGACTGCAGCGCTTGTGTTCTGTCCTACGTACTCACTGCACTAAGATATGTGCGAAGGACGAGATACTGGACAGGGAGGGCAATGCTGGACATTTGGAATACTGCTGAGGCAGCATCAGCTGCGATGGGGCCAGACGATCGCATTCCAAAGCAGAAGCAGCAGTAGCTCGGGGACTGGCGAACTCTACCGAGGCAGCCTCAACAAACGCACCAAAGCGCCGTGGCCCTCCTATCCCTGATTGGCAGCGCAGCAGAAAGCCAGGCTGGGGGAGATGCGGAGCGCACGGGGCGTGGACGGCGGGACGAGGCAGATCAGCGCCTTCGCTGCGTCCCACAGAGATGTGGATGCTCTGCTACTGGGGACGCGCGACCGCTCAACCCTCCGGTTCCCGGGGGAAGGATCAGTGTCGGCCGGCTTTAGTCTGTGTTTAGCCAAGATTGCTCCTGCGTCAAAAAATAACGAGAAATGTTTTTTTCCACAAAATCTGGCAGCTCGTAATAGTGTCTCAGTGAGGTCATTTAACCGACGCTCTATCCGTCCAGCACAAGCCAGCAGGGCTTGGACGTCTTGATTTATCTCCACCATGCGACTACGATATCGCACTGGCAGTGTCAGCTCGCAGTGAAACAGCATCCAGCCCGACACAGGGTGACCACCTGGCCGGGTTTGACCCGGACATTCCGGGATTTGGCATCTGAGTCTGAGTGGCAGGAATTGATTTGTACCGAGATCTGGTAGCAGTATCGCGATGATCTTTATCGCAGGATATCGCGCAGTTTTAATAACGAGCCCGGAGCTCACTGAGAAATCTGTCCGGGTTTGGTCTACGGTGGAAATAGTTCGGTGGCCCTAAGCCCGCACCCCACCTCCTCCTGGCTGCGGGGACACCTCCGCTCGGAACGGTCCCACGCATTGAGCACCGTGACTTCGTACGTGCTTCTCTTCTTTGGCTGCCAGACGGAGCCTCCTATCCACGCTTTGTTCACGGCTCTTCCAATCGGCGCTGATTACACCGTATCTTTTTGTGCAACTCATTGAAGGTTGGACTGGGTCCATCGGTTCACTTCTATACCTGTGGCCCGCGATATTCAACCTTGTTTTAAATAGCCCAAACCTCTAAATTAATTCAGAAAAAAAAACATTCAACATGTTTGGTCTGTTAAATATGAAACTCATCCACCAACTTTCGTAGTCTCAAGGGGGAAGGCGCTGCTCGGGTAACTACGCTGCTCTTTCGCCATTCCACTGTCGGATGAAGGCTTCCCCAAGATGTGGGCGTCCTGGGGATTATTCGACCATACTTCACTGCAATGGTCAGTGTAGGTTGACAAGGAAGGCAGATAACAGATACCTGGACGCGTATGAGAACATGATGTTGCTGCCCTGCCTTCTGCTGCACACTGTATTGAAGGGCCGCTGTGGAAACGCGAGCAGGGCCAGCGTGTCTCGGCTCGCGAACCGAGCAGGCATCCTTCCAAAGGGGTCGTGGAAACGCAGCATCAGGGCACGACCCGGAGCTAAAGTTTCAAGTTTATTTGGTCTCATTTTGATGATGAAACTGAGAACTGACGAGACCAGGATAAAGTATCATTTGCAACAGTGATCCGGAGCATTATCTTTTCAGTAAGAGGCGACGATTGAGTCATTTGCGGTGTAATTTTGGCATTTGGCACATTTGGAGTTTCAAAATCCATGCAGAATCAGCGTTGGTTGGGAATTCTGGCACAGGAAATGAGTGTCAAACGATGCCTGCAGTATACACTGGTATTTAAGGTATGATTGCATGGCTGGATGCATTTTGCTCCACAGACAAAGCGATTTCCATAAGAATACAGAGTCCGCTACGCTCGGAATGCCCGCGAGAAAGGGCGAGCGAGTCGCCCGCTGATGCTGCTGAATCGATGTCAACAATGCGTTCGCATTGCAAGCTGCTGGGAGTCACGACCATGCGTGCCCTATGGCACAATCCACGCCGGCGAACACCGTGAAAATTCCACGAGTTTCCATTTTGCCATTCGATGATTCCCCCCCCCCCCCCCCCCCCATATCCCTAGAAAACAGTGGTGGTACGGCAAGCCGAGGCTGACTCACCCCGCGTGGAGCACCGTGACCCCGGGTGTGCCTCTCCCACCCTGGGACGAACAGCGGCCGTGAAAAGGAACGTTCCGCTTGAGTGAACCATGAGAGCCGCGATTCCCAACCTCTCTCGCTCCACGGCACTCACGCCCGGACTCGCTCGATCTTCGTGGCACGCCGAATCAAAAATCTCGCTGTGGGACCTTCGTCAAGCGGTGGACTGATCATGGTTGATCACGTGTGCGCTCGTGCGTCTCTTTCTCAAGCGGGACACGGAAATGTCCACGCGTCTATTTCACTGCTTTACATTGATGTCTGTGTGTCTGTGCGTCTGCCTGTTCATTATTTTATGTCATTGTCTGTGCGTTGATCAATTCGAAAATACCGTGCCGGCCGCGAAGCGCCGTGCGAGAGGATCGCCATCAAGCGCAGCGCCGCTTGCAGCCCCGGCGCGTCTCGGCGTTCTGCTGCGGAGGGCAATACTCCTTTTGTATGTGCAGTACCCTGAACTTCTTTCGCACCGTACTAAATATAGTAGGACCTTTTTCCCGAGGGTCCTGTCGCGTTTCACGGTAGCGGGAGGAGATGCACGATTCATTTGTGTTCTCCACGGCGTTTGTGCCATGCTTGGTGCACTTTGAGGCCACGCGAAGTGTCGAAGGCTCGCTCGCGGGAGGTCACGGAACAGACCCAGGTGTCATGGGTTGACTCACTGAGGTCACTGGCAGATGCACGATCCGTGTTCCCCACTGTGCCTACTTTCTCTGTTATAACCGCCCGGCGCTCCGCTCGTCGTTGTGAGCGTCGCCCCTCTGCCCTCCGTTATTGCTGGAGGGCGACTACCTCCAACACAACAACACAACAACAACAACAATAATAATGATCCACTCTTCTTTGGTTCTTTCGGTAAAATCACGTAGAATGATAATAAAATAATAAATTGATAAAATAAAATAACACAATATTCTCACTGAGAATATTATTGCGTTATCTTATTTTATCAATTTATTATTTTATTCTCATTCTACGTGACTTTACCGAAAGAACCAAAGAAGATGAATCCTTGCAATCACGAAAGCTTTAAATCGAAATGATCCACTCATTCAGCCTCCCCGCGGTCAGCACAGCCCGAGAGAAGCGCCCAGAGACAGCGGTCGCAGTTCAACTCCGCTGCCCGGCCGGGCTGCGGCTGCGGCTGCATGCCGCCTGTCCGCCTGCGTGCGTGCGAGGACGTTGCGAGCTTATTGAGCAAAGAGAGCCCGGCTCACGCCGACGTGACGCGCCACACGACGTACAGAGTCGAGTTCGTACCGAAGCATTGCACTCACGACGACAACAACAAAAATTCATGTTGTTGATTGTTTGTGTTTAACTTGTGCGTGATAATTCAACAAACGTGAGCTGAAGAAGCGACGGTCGGCTGAGTGCATCGTTTGGTTTTCAAAAAGTACTGGAATTCTTAAATCCAATGTATGATCTAATCCCCTAATATTCTTATCCCAACCTTGTTCATAATACCACCCCGATGTTGAAACGTTCTGCCGAACAGTGATATTTCGCGGCGAATAACGCACTCTGTTATGATAGTTACAACCGTTAAACGCTGTCGTATACGCAACGTTAATTAAGGTAGGTCGCGGCTAATCACGACAAAAACATTTTTTGGTTGTGTACCTCTCGTGAGCAAGGAACGTCTGAACAACGTTGGATCGAGGTGATTGTGACGCTGCATTGCCCGTGCGGTGCCGCGTGCGCGAGTGAGGTTGGACGGTCGGGCTCTCCGCTCAATCCGCGCGACGCGGCCACTGACCTTCGCCTCTCAGTTGCGCACGCGACCAGGGGTTCTCGATCGTTTGCGAGCCGCCGCCGTCACCGCGAGTTCCCGTTTGTTCATCTAAGACGACCGCTTAATGAGAGGCGCTTGCGTCCCAATCCGAAGCGAGAAAACGCGTTAGCTCCTCGCTCGTCTAAAAACGAGGTCCCGCTGGGTCTCTTCTTGCACCTCGAGTGCAGAGTTCAATGTGCGGCGGCGGCGGCGGCGACTCGCTACAGCTCAGCTCCTCGGGTGCTCGGAGCCTGCGGGGGGAAGAGGCTTATAAGGAGCCGCGGCCCAGACCCTCCCCCATCGCACGCGCACCCAGCCCCGCGTCGGCGAACTTTGCCCGCTCGCAGTTTTGGCAGCGCCTCGAGAAAGCTGACCCCACCTCCCGGCAATTCGAGCCCCGCGCGCGTAGCGCTCAGCACCCTCTCGAGCCGCAACTTTAAAAATCCCGTTCCGTAGCAGAGCACGCACCGCGTCTCCCGCTGGATTCGTAAAGAAACAGCGGCGGCATCGTCCCCGGCTCTCCTGCTCGACGCCCGGCTTCACGGCTGGGAGCCGCTGCGGCCGTGCGGTGGAACTTGAACGTCATCGCAGCCGCGCTATCTCGCTGTTAGCGCCAGCAATATATGACCACAGCAAGAGCCGGGGTTTACAACGCACGGCAAACTGCTGATGTACTTATTAACATCTCGCCCTGTTCCAAGGAGGCAGGCGAACACCGTTCTACAAGCTACGGTGCGAGCTTTAGGTCATAGAAGGACATTGGGTTTGGTGTTGCGTCAAAGTCAAAGGGGTTCCCTGTTCAAATGAACATTGAAGCACTGGTGCTCATCTCCCGATTGCAGTCCTCCAGACCCAGTGATGGAAATTCCACATTCATATGGCGGGGATGAGTCTATCCTCAGAACAAAAGCTGTTGGCTTTGCCGCAATGTGGTGCTTATTTTAGTGACACTGCAAGGATGATGGGCCAAGTCAACCCTTCAATCAGGATCTTGCGTTGAGTCGCCTGTGCGGGGTGACTCTGTGAGGAGTGGCGGCGCAGTGGTTAGCGCACTGCGCTCCGAATCTGTTTACTCGCATTCACTTCCCACTCACCACCAATATTTTAACCGGTTCGGCGTCTCACCTAGGTTCACTGAGCCTTCAATGAGTACCTGGTGTGCGTTGTGTAAACGTCAGTATTCGGGGGACAAAGGCGACCGGGCGTGGTGCTGGCCTCCCTCCCCCTCGTGTTCCGTGCTCGCTAATTGCTCTTGCCTCTACGGTGTGGTCATAGCTACATGGGGAATCTTTGTCTGGTTATACGTCTATTAAACGACCGTGGTGAGTGGCCCCGGTACATTAAACACCAAATCAAACACTGCGCTGCCCAACGCGAATGTTTCACAATTTGACTCCATTGTTCCCCAAAGCACCCAAAGGAAACGCTGTCCAGGATACCGGCTGCCACCAGGGTGTCAACCCCGGTGGGCGCGGGCAGCGTCTCGGCTCGCAGGGCTGGGACCCGCGTGGCCAGGGCGAGGCGGCGCTAAAGGTCAAAAGGACTCCATCCGATGGAGATGATTGCGCGAGGGAGGGGCGGCCGAAATGAACGCGCGCAGTGTGGCGAGGCCGGTCGGAGGAGCGCTCTGCACCCGGAGCTGGGGAGACGCCTCTCTCCGGGACGGTGTGCGACGAGGCCGCGAGTCAAGCGGCGATGTTATTGTGACATGGCGACCCCTGGCCATCACTTCGTCATCGTCACCATCAGCACCTCTGCAAGGCATTGCGTCCATCTTCGCGTCGTTAAAACATTTTCTCGCAAAATGTCCATTGGGGTGACGTGGAAAGGGCGTACTGTTCAAATAAACATCAATACACCTGTAAGGATACATCGGCACGTTTCCAAGTTGGTTTATTAGATGCACAACAAGAGCTGTGCACCTTCAACGCCGTATTTTCTCGGGTTGTTAAACACGTACGCAGCGAATTGTTACGCGCCGCGTTAAACATTCTTAATCTCTGTTTCTCACATCGTGCGCCACGTGTGTCTATTGTCGTGATGCGTTCTGACGGTGACGCTGGAGCTGCCATCAGCCGAATGTGAATTATCTTGCGAAGTTCGCTCCCCGCTCCCCACCCCCCGCACCCGGGGGGACTTTGCCCGTGAACCCTCAAGACGCAGCAGCGCCTCGCCCAGACCGCTCCCCTTCCCACGCTGCGATTCCCGAGCCCCGGGGCTGTCGGCGGCGCTCTGAGCGGCGTGAACTCGTCGCGCGGGCTAACGAGACGCGCGGTGCGGGGAGCCACGGAGGTGGAGGCGCATGGGTTCGATTATGACCTTGCGCGCAATGGCAGTGGTAGCAATCTGTTCGGGAGCTCGGTGCCAATGTCGAGGTTTGCTGGCCACGACGAGAGGGCTTCGGGCGAGAGAGTTCGTGTCGCGTTGCTGTTCTGTGGGGGCCGACGCCCACCCCCTCCACTCCCCACTCCTCCTCGTCGGCCGCCTCTCGCCGGGCCCCCGCCGATCGGGTGATCGCCCCCCCCCCCCGCGCCAGAGCTAACCGGCTGGCTCACCACCGCCCGGGGTTATCTCGCACACGCCCACGTGCACCACCACAAAATACGAAGGCGGCTGCGTGCACGCGCGCGCCCCTGTAGGCGCTCGTTTCGCACAAAGGCTAGGGCTAAAGGGCTGCGCGAACTTGCGCGCGCGCGCCTCGCCTTTAATGCCATTGTTCTCGCGGGGACACGCGCGAGCGTCGGCGAGCAAGTTTTGAACTCCCTCCTCCACCGCCCTAAGATTCACGCGGCACAACCGCATGGACACGTGGGCGTTGGCGGCCTGTTATGGTTTAATTCAGCGGTCCCCAACCTTTTTGGCATCAGGGACCGGTTTCGTGGAAGACAATTTTTTCACGGACCGGGGGGGGGGGGGGTTCATCATTGGGTCTTTCCCCCTTTTCAAAGAAGCTCTCCAGCAACGTTTGTTTGTTACTCATTGTGGCTACTAGGGGTTAGAGCTTGTGGGCTTTACCACAACTGTGACTGAGCCAAGTGCGCAGTGCGGGTAAGAGGCGCGGATGGAAGTGGTAAATAATAAAATAATGGGGACGGGCCACGTGCTGACTCACCGCTCTCACCTCCTGCTGTGCGGCCCGGTTCCTAACAGGCCACGGACCGGTACCGGTCTGCGGCACGGGGGTTCGGGACCCCTGGTTTAATACACGCGCGCCTCACGCACACACTCAGATTACCAACACCACACCGACGCTGCAGCCCTGCGCTCGCTCTCCCGCGCACACCGTCCCCCCTGCGCGGTCGCACCACACACAAATGGCAGACACCACGCCGACGTTCTACCCACACGCACAGAAATCACACTGCGCCGATACTCTGCACTAAAGTTTATTGACGGCGCACATACACACTACCTGGAGGGGGAATATGTCGCAAGAAGGGCTTAGGCTGACTCTGCCTACGAACCCGGTCACTCAAGCGTCCTGCCACGTACCTCGAAGCTGGGCTCACGGCATCGCACGGACGCTGTGAGAGTCGGAGGGACAAGGACGAGAGGAGACTTTACCTTATGAGACCTCCTTTGCCAGAAACAAGATATAGGAATAGGTTTTACCCTTTTAACTGGCACAAAAACTGACACCTTCATTCAAGGCATCATGTTTGCAATAACCACAACACAAGCAGTCAAAATGCAAACAAAAAAGACAACTCTGATAATAATATTGGCACTGTCCTTGAATTCAAAGCCCCGAGGCTCTAAGAAAAGCTGTCTCGGGTATGGACCAATCAAATTCAAGGAAAGTGCATATTATTATCAGAGTTGTCTTTTTTGTTTGCATTTTGACTGCTTGTGTTGTGGTTATTGCAAACATGATGCCTTGAATAAAGGTGTCAGTTTTTGTGCCAGTTAAAAGGGTAAAACCTATTCCTAAGACTTTACCTATCAATGCCTCGCAGCAGCACTCGCTGGCATCACGTGGAGGCTGCGAGCGGCTTGAGGAGGCAGGACGCCAGGGAGCGGGTCTTGACGGCCAGGAGGTGGAAGACAACTGACTGAAATCGTCCCGGGCTGCTCTTTTTATTCTCTTAACTTCAAAGCCCCGGGGTGCCATCGTACCGCGCGGCCAAACGTGCGCTTACCTGCGGTTACCGCCTCCCCCCGCCCCCCATATGCCGCCCCCCCCCCCCCCCCCCCGAGTACTGCGTGGCGGTTGCAGTGGCGTGGCGGGCGGCGGCGACCCCCCATTGCCCCTTTGTCTGGAAGGGCTCCCGCGCTTTTGCCTACTTAATATGCCACCCTCCGTCCATTTTCGAGTGCTGTGCGGCGGCTGTGGCCGGCGGGCGGCGGACACCACCCATTGTCCCTTTGTCTCTTGTGTCCTTCTTGCTAAATGTTCCGTCCTCCGTTCTCCCCTCCGAGTTGTACATCATTGCGGTTGGCCCAGGGAACCTTTTCCTTCTGCGCCCATACAATTTGAGGCCAATTTAGAGGCACCGCAATGTGACCTGTCCTGTGAGGGTCGGCCAATCTCCTGGCACCGGGAAACCGTGGGACTCTCCCTCTAGGGGCCCTTCAAATTAAAACTCGATGTGCCAGGCACCCCTCCCCACCCCCCACCCATCAGGACACTACTACGTGGGTGCGCTGCATGCGGGTTTGTGTTTAGTGCGGAGGCCGGGAGGGGATTGCGGCGCTTGTGGAGTTGCTCCGCGGTCGTGGCACCAAAGTTCATCCTCCATTGAAAGAGCGCAGAATTCAGTACAGCGGTTTACTGTACGGTCTAGAGTTTGGGTTGCATGCTACAGTGGCTTGTCTTTAATGTTCCATTTATAAATAAAATGTGGTGCAGCACTTATTGATGTTCAGAAGCGGTCCGTTGTCACACCGGTGTCTTCGAGGAGGAGGAATGTCAAAGCCCGGAGGTGCAATGATGTTTGGGTCTCGAATGAGGAGGTGTGTATCACGGTGACGTCTGCAGCCGGGGCCTCGTCAAGGTCACAGCGTCCCATCACCGTCTCCAGAGAGACCCGTCACTTCACGGAGCCGGAAGTATTTAGATTACGTTTAGTTTTTAGAACAAAATCCTGACATATGGGCGTCTCTTAATGTTCAAGGAATGCTCATTGGATGACAGTATTTAGACTTGCCATGATGCCATTACTACTCAACTGACAACGCCAGTGCAGCCAGTCTGTGCCGATGCAAAACAAAAACAAAATTATCCCGAGGTCTAAATTATAGCGTCTCACAATCTTCTCCCTGCAGCTCTGCGGTGCGAGCGAACTCTTCTCGAAGGTCGCATTGCAAAGAGGCCAGCGGCCTCTTGCAATTGTGCAGTGCTTAGTATAT